GACAATTACTCAGTTATATAAAAAACAAAAGTACATACTAATGACCAATTATATTTAAATAGGTCAAGTAGTCAGTCCATGGTAGGCGAAGATTGAAGTCTATTATGTTTTGTACACACAGTTTAGGCTGTATGTGATTAATCCCCAGAGTGCTTCCATCACCTTCAATAACCAACCCTGAATTAGAGTTATGTGATGAAATAATTGTGAAACAGTCATTAATAATATTGATTTTGTGACCTGACATTAATAAGTGCTTTGCAATGGATGATGATGCTGGATTTCTACTCAGATTAATTGCATTGGGATTTTCTATATGTTTTAATAACCATTTTGGAACATGTTCTTTTCGACGACCACATTGGAACATTTCATTGGTTCTACGTATATAGGTGTCATCGCAGCTGCAGGTGAACTTGTGGATACAGTTTGAAGTAGAGTCCACAGAATTTCGTCCTTTAATTGTATGTCCAGGGATCGTAAATGTTCGGCAAGTGAGAAAAAGAGATGTGGCGGCGTAGAATGTGCGTTTGATGGCTGACCGAAGTCTTTGAGTTAGCTGTCAACTGCATAATCTGGTCACCCTTGAATGGTAGTTTAATAAAGATAGGTTATTGAAGGTGATGGAATCACTTTGGGGATTGATCACATACAGCCTAAACTGTGTGTACAAAAAGCAAAAAATGGACTTCAATCTTCGCCTACCATGGACTACATGACCTATCTTAATACGATTGGTCATGAGTATGTTCTTTTTTTTATTTAACTGAGTAATTGTTATGATCTTTATTTTATTCTATTATTGTGGTGAACCATGTTAGTTGTAAAGCGGTTGTAAAGGAACTACGAAATGACGATATCATCTCGCAAAATTTGTCTTCTTAATGCCTTATTCATATATATATGAGAAATGTTGCATACCAAGTAATCCACAATGGGAAACTTACGGAATCCTTCGAAGTGAGGACAGGAGTAAGACAAGGCTGCCGACTATCGTCAATGATTTTCTTGATTGCAGTAGATTGGATAATGCGACAAACAGCGGGCAATGAGGAAACAGGCATAAAATGGACTCACACAAAACAGACATGGAGGATCTGGACTTTGCCGATGATATATGCCTGATTTCCCACAAACTGGAAGATATGCAAGCGAAAAACAACAAGTTGGCAGAAGAAGCATCCAGCGAAGATAGGAAGGACTTCAGGTGAACATAGAGAAGACAGAGGTGATGAAGATTCCCGGGAAACACCACCAACAGCAACAACAACAACAACAGACAACGATCAGCATAAATGGGAGGAACCTGAAAGAAACAACCTCCTTTACCTACCTACCTACCTGGGAAGCATCGTTTCAACTACAGGCACACGGAACTGACGAGGATATCAAAGCAAGAATCGGAAAAGCAAGACAAGCTTTCATTACTCTCAAGTCTGTGTGGAGGTCAACAGCACTCACCATCAAAAATAAGATCCGGATTTTCAACTTCAATGTGAAGTCATTGCTACTCACTATACGGATCAGAGACTTGCACTGCGCGTCATAAAGAGCATCTCAAACAAACTACACACCTTCATTAACAGTTGTCTTTGCTCAATACTCAAGATCAGATGGCTAGGAAAGATCAGAAACAGAGATCTCTGGCAATGAGAGAACCAACCAGCAACCGATTATGAAACAAGTAGGCAGGAAGAAATGGAGATGGATTGGCTGGCCATACTCTGAGGAAACCATCAAGTGACATCACTAGACCCGAAAGGGAAGTGGCGAGTTGGTCGTCAGTGCAAGGGTGACTTGGAGGAGGTCATTAATGAAGAGGAGGTGAAAACGTGTGGGCAGACTTGGAGCCAGGTGAAGACTCTAGCAGAGAAGTGAACGCAATGGAGACGCACGGCTGAAGCCCTATGTTTCTGTAGGAATTAAAGGAAACAATAATAATAATAATATGAGAAAATAATATTCCATTGAAACACACTCACACACTGTTGTCTGTATTACACCATCCATCACACACTCACCTTGGATTGGTTTCCAGATCACTCATTAGTGATATCACCTCCATTTTATCCGTCATATCTGTTTTATCGATTAGATCAGCTTCAAATTTTTGAATATGACAAGAATTCACCTTGTCTGGTCTTATCGGTCGTGATAAGCATATTTTAATTAAATTATTTCCATCTTGTGATTGTTGTTGTTGTTGCAGTTGTTGTTGTTGTTGTTGGTCTATCGGATGATCGTCTAAAATGACATTGTCATTCACCTGACATACTGAGATTTCATTAAAAGTTTTATACTGTGAATAATATTTTATCAGTGAAAATAATTTACCAGGATAATCATTAGGAAACAGTTGATAAGTGTTCACAGTTAAATAATGTAATGGGAACCAGACAATTGATTTGACAATTTGTTCACTTTCACAGAAATCACTAGTCATATCTGGTTCAGTACGTAGACTTCTTTCTGAGGGTAGAATTGAATCAGTGAAGGATACCTTTGTGCCTGATGACTTCTGTATTAGTGGAGTAAAAATGAAAAATATATATAAAGATTTTAGAAATACCCCTGCTTATGAATTATCAAAACACTTAGCTCTAATATTATGCCCCTCCATTGGAAATCGTTCAAACTCTAGACCAGCTGACTAATTCATATGAGATGAAAAATAAACTAAATGACATACAACTAAAGAATGATGAAACAATGGTTAGTTTTGATATAACTAGTCTTTGCACTAATATACCAGTCAATATGGCGGCATTTGAAGCAGTTAAAAAACAACTAACTGCAAATCCTGAACTCACTCATAGGACAACGCTGCCCATTGAGTAAATTAATTTAGGAATTCAGTTATGCCTCACATCTACTGTCTTTAAATTCCAAGGGAAAATATATAGACAAACAGAAGGTGCAGCAGTGTGAGGGATCACCGATATCCCCTATCGTGGCGGATATCTTTATGGATGACAGTTGGGAAAATATTGCTCTAAATACATTTAGTCCTACTCCCAAAATATGGTGGAGGAGATATGCGGATGACACTTTCACACAGTGTTAAAAACAGAACATATCTCTCTCTAGCTTCTTGACACACATAAACTCACTAGTGGAGGGAATAAAATCCACATTTGAAGCCGAAAATGAGCAAGGAGAATTAGCCATGATGCTAGATTGTAAAATAAAACGAATAGAAGAAGGTAAACTTCACACTAGTGTTTAGAGAAAACCAACGCATTCTAATAGATATTTAGATTTCAGTTCGTTTCATCCTTTAACTGTTAAGGCAGGCTTAGTTAAGTGTCTAACAAACTGAGCAGTAGCACTAATTAGCACAAAAAAAGACCTAAATGATGAAATAAAACAGATAGAAGAAGCGTTGGTGTTAAATAACTATCCTATAAAATTCATTAGGAAGATCGAAAAAGGCCAAAATAAAAATAAAAATAATTATGAAACTAGTAATAATAACATAAATAAGAGAGAATATAAGGCATCTACAGTTATACCACATAAAGAGGGGACATCTGAGACCCTCCCTATGTAGGATTCTTAATAAAGCAGGAATTAGGGTGGCATTCAAACCTACAAAATCACTCAGGGACAAACTCTGTAGGCTAAAAGACCCAGTGGACCCAATTAAACAAAATAATATAATTTACGAAATACCTAGCAATGACTGTGGGGTCAACTATATAGGCCAAAATAGTAGATCAGGAGTAGTGAGAATGCCTGTCAGAACATAAGAATTTAGCTAAGGTAAGAATGATTGACCTCGAGAAGATAAGTAATTTAGAAGAAAGCTCAGCAATTGCACTACATGCATTAACAAACAACCACACAGTAGCATGGTAGGAGAGGGTTAAAATTCTAAGAAGTAATTTAGGTAGGTGGAGACAGAGGGAGATTGATTACTGAATCCTGGTTCATTGAATCTACACCCAACACATGCAACAGAAGTGATTCAATGCAAATACCAGAAATATGGAAGATATTATTACCACCAGTCAGTCAAATAAGAGGAGGATAATAAATAATCTCAAAATTCTATTTCAATTCACATACATTAAAACATTCTAACAAGTTACTTATTTCGACTATAAAATGACTGGTCTTATTTCCCACCTGATTATATTTGATCAATAACACTCATATTATTTCTGAATGTACATTATCCCATATTGATTTTTATTCAAATGTCTAATCATCAATTCCACACATGTATATAAATGAAGCAAGAAAGTTGTGTAAGTGAGTCACTTGATATGATTGTGAGCAGTAGTTTGTGGTCGAAAAGTGGTCATCAGTTAATATTACCGTACTGTATAACACTGTGTGATTTATCAAAATAAAATCTTATCCATAATGGAGTTATACTCTACCACCAGCAAAGTGGCCAAGTTTTATACTTATATCAATAAAGAAAAGTAAAATAATTGAATGAAAATTCTACAACAGTTAAGTGATCAAACATGCAATTAAGTGGTGTCATCAAAAAGGGGGCTGGTTGGTTGAATTGAGAAGCTTTCAACGTCTCCCCTTCTGGACAACATCCACCGTAAGCTCAAATTTTAGCGTGTGAAGTAAACTCATTTGAATGAGTGATGGTAGAATTGAGTCTCCTGGCGACAATCTTCGTGACTGGTAGTAGTCGATTTACATCTCTACTGAAGATCACTTTTTTATTGACTTGGAATTCGCACTTTGTTGTCATGTAATGATTTACTTTTTATTAGTTGGTAAATTTGGTCTATAATAATATTGTGTTTGTTAATCGCTGGTTGATTCACTTGAGTGTGCCAGGCTTCTAGGAATTCTCTGGCAGTATTTTTGGTGTTTCCTGTGTTTAAAATTTCGACATTATCCCAATGAAATTGATGTCCATAATTATACACAATACTCAAATATATGAACAAATAAAAGGAACACCAATAGGATCGCTCATATCAGGATTAATAGCTGAAGCCGTTATGCAAAGATTAGAATTAATAGCTCTACCTATAATTAAACCGAAAATCTGGATACGTTACGTTGATGATACATTTGTAATAATTAAGAGAAATGATTCAGAATATACTCATAAATTAATAAACAACATATTTGAAGACATCAAATTCACAAAAGGAAGAAGATTTAGACGACAACGAAATCCCATTTTTAGATGTCTTAATCAGGAGAACCAACACAGGAGATTTAGAGACAGAAGTTTATCGAAAATCAACGCCCAGACATAGATCGAATACTCAACTATACTAGCAATAATCCACTTACTCACAAACGAAACTGTGTGCAGACATTGTTTAAAAGAGTTCAAACACATTGTGGCACTCCAGAGTTGAAAAAAATGGAAGAAAAATACCTACAAACGGTCTTCAAAAAGAATGGTTATCCACAAAATTTCATCAAAAAGTTTTTAAAACACCAACAAGAAACCATCATCAAAGACCACAAGAAAATTCATTCTACCATACATGAAAAATATCTCTGAAATAACAGCCAGAATACTGAAACCGTTAGATATAGATATAGCACACAAACCAGCCAGTCAAATCGCTTAATTCGATATTATGCAAACCAAAAGATCCAACAGAAAAAGGAGATAAAATTAATACCATTTACAAAATAAGTTGTATGAACTGTAACAAGCATTACATCAGCCAAAGTGGGCGTCCCCTTCGAATTGGAATCCAAGAACACAAATCAACCGTGAAAAGACACGATATGTATTCTTTAGTATCAATGCATATAGACAATTATGGACATCAATTTGATGATTGGGATAATGTCAAAATCTTAGACAGGGGAAACACCAAAAGTGCAGTCAGGGAATTCCTAGAAGCCTGGTACTCAAACGAAAATGCAGTTAACAAACACGTTAATAAAGACGAAATATACCAAATAATAAAAAGTAAATCCCAGGTGACCAGAAAGTTGAAAATCCAAGTCAATAGAAAATGGTCAATACACATGTAAAGATGGTTACCAGGAGATGCAATTACATCAGGCATGAAGTAATTTTAATCATTTCACTTTGTGCTAAATATGGCGCTGAAGATGTTGTCCGGAAGGACGACGAAAGCTTCGCGACTAAGCCAACCAGCTCAGAGAACACTTTTAATTGCAAATTATACACATGCATTGATATGAACTGATATGAATTCGGCAGCAGGGAATGCTCTTTACACCGCATTTCTAAGGTTCTGTGTTAGTATCTCGCTCATGTTATCCCCAAGGAACTGAATTTGTAAGAATAAGGCCTTTTTAGGACCTGTTGGTACCTTGAGTTGCCTTGATTTTAGACTCATATTCTTATCAACAAACTTTTCTGGATAACCATTTTCACTCAGCAACCGTTTAATATTATTAAGTTCCTCGTCAAGACATTCGTCCGAGCAAAGCTCTCTTGCTCTGTGGACTAAGCACTTTATTAGATTGCGTTTGTATTTCAAGGGCACGAAGCTGACAAAATGAGTATACTGACCCGTTGATGTAGGTTTTCTATATACACGCCTTCTTATTGTGCCATCCTCTTTTCTGGTCACAGGGACGTCTAGTAAAGAAATACTAGAGTTTTTTCTTTCTCAGTAGTAAAATTTATTGCAGGATGTACCTCATTAAATTTATCCAGGATGTTCTTTGCTTCCTCCTCATTTTTCATAATCAAAATTCTATCATCCATGTACCGACAATAGAATTCAAGTTCATTAATAACATCCTTCAAAGGCCCTTTTTCTAGTTTCGCAAGGAAAATGTCGGCTAGAATGGGTCCTAGTGGCGACCCCATTGCCACACCGTCGATTTTCTATATAGTTCCTTATTAAATAAAAAGTGGACATTCATTGTACATTTCAAGAGAAGCTCTTTCATAAAAGATATAGGAATGCCAACATCAATGTTTCGTCTTATAGGTTCTTCCCATACAAAGTCCACTGTTTCCATGAGTGGTTCATTGGTGAATAAGGAAGATACGTCAAATCATATCATGAATTTATTGTCAACATTTAAATCTTTTATAATTTCAACAAATCCATAAGTATCCTTTGCACTGTGTTTCCCCAACTCGGTATGAAGAGTCTGTAAGAGTTCGACTAAGCATTTGGCTACGGGATGGTTTGGTGAATTTAACATATCTAATACTGGTCGAAGTGGTACACCATTTTTGTGCACTTTGGGCGAGCCATATAATCTTGGTGTGAACGTTCCAGTGGGTTTAAGTGATGTATACTGACTCTGTGAGATAAAGTCTTTTTGCTTCGGTCTTTTCAATGTTTCCGTTAACTGTTTCTCTATCTTTTCAATCGGATCCAGATAAGAGGAGATTTTTTGGAATTTTAGATTATCATTAAGAATAGTATTCATTTGCTCAAAGTAATCCGCTCTCTTCATGATGATCACTCCTGAGCCCTTATCCGATCTTGTTATTATTATGTTGTCATTTTATCGGAGATTGAAACATATTTCATATTTATGACAGTTTCGACCACGGATTGATATCAGTTAAACAAACCTTGAAAACCAGCAAGGAGTACAGGACAGTTAGCTATTTCATCCTAGTTTGGCAATCATCGACAGTAATCACCCACGCCACAAGGGGTTTGAACCCAGGACCTTCCAGTTACAAGGGAAGCTAGTGTACCATTCAGCCACTGGGACCCAATTCAATAGCCAGTCCATGAATTCTGACTTCTACCAATACATGATTTAGCGCAACTGGCACCAACCAAGGTCATCAGTGGGGCATCCATCCTTAAACCTGACTGGGTGGACCTCACTGGTCAACTGATTTCACTTCTCCATGAATGATGATAGAATTGCGTCTCCTGGCAACAATCTTCGTGACTGGTAGTAGTCGATTTACATCTCTACTGAAGATCACTTTTTTATTGACATGGAATTCTCACTTTGTTGCCATGTAATGATTTACTTTTTACTAGTTGGTAAATTTGGTCTATAATAATATTGTGTTTATTAATCACTGGTTGATTCACTTGAGTACCAGGCTTCTAGGAATTCTCCGGCAGTATTTTTGGTGTTACCTCTGTCTAAAATGTCGATATTATCCCAGTCATCGAACTGACGTCCATAATTGTCTATATGCATTGATATGAAAGAATATATATCATGTCTTTTCACAGCTGATTTGTGTTCCTGGATTCTGATTCGAAGGAGACGCCCACTTTTGACCTATATAATGTCTGTTACAGTTCATACACGCAATGTCATTTAGACATATTTCATATTTATACCAGTTTGACCACGGAATGATATCAGTTAGAGAACTATAGAAAACTAGCTGGGTGTACCGGACAGCCAGCTGTTTCATCCTAATTTGAAAATCATCGGCTGTATGCACTCATCACCAGGGTTCAAACCTTGGACCTCTCGGTTACAAGACAAGCTAGTGTGCCATTCAGCCACCGGGACCCAATCCAATAGCCAGCCCGTGAATTCTACCTTCTACCAATTCTTGATTTAGCGCGACACCACCAATCAATGTCACAGGTGGGAACTCCATCCTCACACTTGACTGGATGGACCTCACTGGTCATGACTTCTCACCAAACTCTTTTAAACATTTCATATTGGCTAGTAATGCGTATTTATTTGTTTGAAACCCCATGCCTGAAATTAACGGGTTTTATATATTACATATAGTAATAATACACAGGTGAAACAGTTGTGTTCCACCAGGTGGAATGATTTAACTGCGAGGTTTTCTCTCTGCAATTCTAAACATATTTCACATTGACAGCTATGGACATCAATTTCAGTGTGGAATATTCAGGCATTTCAAAGAGTGAACACATTAAAAATTGATGGAGAAAATTTTTAAAAGACTGATACTCAAACAACAACAACAAACAGACACATTACCTTTGTTGACATTAGATGGTTGGAGGCAATTGGCCACAGGAAGCCTTCGACCTAGGTTTCGTGCTAGTTGGCACTCACTAGTCAGCAAGGCGTATCTGCAACCTTGAAGGAACTCATGTCCCGCGGTACCCAGTACTGCAGTCAGAGACGTTACCACCACTGAGCTATTCGGGCTGGCTCGCGATTGACCTCCTGTAGGACTGTATTCTATATTTTGATTGGACATTAGTAACTAGTGTGATGCGTTTAGTCCTTTCTTTGGTGCTTAGTGGTAACGTCTATGACTGACTGCAGCACTGGGTGACGCGGGTCAAAATCTCAGAAGAGATATGAGTTCCTTTAAGGTTGCAGATACGCCTTGCTGATGAGTGCCAAACTAGGACGAAAACTAGGTCAGGTAGGGCTTCCTGTGGCCGATTGCCCCCAACTATCTAATATCGTCAAATCAGTGTGCACCGTGATGGCGAGCTACCTAGAATGGTGGCTGCATTACAAACCTGACTGGTAGAATTCAGTCTGCACCAAACAAAGGGGACTAGACATATCACACTAGTTACCAGTGTCCAATCAAAAGACACACTACCTATCGATCAAATTTATCAATAAAAGTCGAATTCCAAGCCAATAAAAACGGTCAACACCAGTAGAAATTAGGAACTAATCACAACAATGGTTGTCGTGGAGATACAATTCAAACAAGTACACTGCATATATTAAAGCTTCTGCTGAGGATACGTGCCAAAAAGGACCGTGAAAGTTTCTCCAATCAAACCACCCAGCTCAGACAACACAGTTACATGGCCAATCTACTGACCTTTGGGCTACTGATTTAGGATTCATTCACTGACTTAAGTGCTCTAATCGTTACAGTTACTGTCATCGATTAGTTATGTCTGATTTCCCATAAACTAGAAGATATGCAAGTGAAAAGCAACAAGTTGGCGATTGAAGAAGCACCCACAAAAGATAGGACTTCAGGTGAACATAGAGAAAACAGATGTGGTGATGAAGATTTCCGGCCAACAGCAACAGCCACAGCAACAACAACAGACTGCAATCAGTATAAGAGGGAAGAAACTGAAAGAAGCAACCTCATTCACCTACATACCTACCTATCTGGGAAGCATTGTTTCAACTACAGGCGGATGGAACTGATGAGGATATCAAAGTGAGGACTGGGAAGGCAAGGCAAGCAAGCTTTCTTTTCTCTCAAGTCTGTGTGGAGATCAACAGCACTCAGCATGAAAATGAAAATAAGATCAGGATTTTCAACTCCAATGTGAAGTCAGTGCTACTTACTATACGGATCAGAGACTTGGCACTGCGCCGCGTCACGAAGGGCACTTCCAACACACTACAGACCTTCATCAACAGCTGTCTTCGCTCAATACTACTCAAGATCAGATGACCGGCCAGAAAAGATCAGCGGTCTCTGAGAGTGAACCATCGGGAGACAGTTGTGCAACAAATAGGCAGGAAGAAATGGAGGCGATTGGCTGGTCATACTCTGAGGAAACAAACCATCAAGTGAGTGACATCACACACCAGGCCATTGCTCGAGTGGAATCCAAATGGGAAGCGGCAAGTTGGTCGTCAGTGCGATAATGGGATGACATGGAGGAGGTCATGTGCAGAGATGATGAAAGAATGTGGGCGAACGTGAAGTCAGGTGAAAACGTTGTCAGAGAACCAAACGCAGTGGAGACATGCGACTGACGCCCTATTTTCCTCTAGGAACTAAAGGAAACAGTAATAATGATAATAATGACCTTCAGTTTCACCTTGATATGGTCGGCTATACCGGTCTCAACCACCTTAACTTATACTAAATTACAACAAAAGTTTATGCTCATAATTCATCAAAATCCTACAAAACAGCAAAAAAAGGTTAAAGTCTAAATCCATATACTTTTTTTTACCTTGACAGCTGTTGTTGTTGTCGTTGGTTCACCGCCTTGGTGATAATTTTTCTCAGCCTGAATTTTAGTTCCTTCTTTCTCTAATTTTTTCTTAAATTCCATCAGAATTTCATTGTCATATGTATATTTTCTTAGAAATAAGACACAAGAAAAACATAAAATTTAGAAAAGAGTATTGACTCAGGAAGATAAGTGTGTCATAAAGAAATTTCACGAAGTAACTCAGTGTTTATTGCTTATTATAAAAGTTCTATTTGCATATCCCAATCAATGAAAAAGACAAAACGATATTGTCGTTCCTACTGACGTTTCGCTATTTAATGCTGCTGTTAATAGCTTTGTCAAAGCAGTATTATAAAACCAGAATTTACAAAATCTCAGTTGATATTATATAACAACTTAATCATCATTCATCAGTATGGCGTAATTTTTGCGTTGTTGTCAAGTTGACCAATTGGTAAAGATAACAAAACCAAATGTAGATTGTTGGATATGATACGTGTATAAGTTTATAGTGAAAGTGTTTATCACATTCGTGTTGATTTTGTCATTTCATGGGGGAGGGAGGTGTTATGAGCAGGTCAAATTTTGTTTAAGCTTATCACACCCCCTCTCGACGAAATCAGAAGTCCTGAAGGCAATCAAAATGCTAAAAGCTGCAAAAGCAGCAGGACCGGATGGAATCCCAGCAGAAGCATTGAAAACGGACCCAGAGACAACACCGGACTTGATGACGCCACTACTGAAGAAGGTGTGGAAAGAAGGCAAAGTACCTGAGGATTGGAAGAAAGGATACTTATTCAAACTACCAAAGAAAGGAGACCTAAGTCAAAGCAAGAACTGGCGCGGAATTATGCTCCTGTCCATCCCAAACAAAATACTAAGCCGCATCATCCTGGAGAGAATCAAACACGCTACCTTGGATGAAAAACTTCGACCGGAACAGGCTGGATTCAGGAGAAACAAGTCATGCATTGATCAGATCGCCACATTACGGATCATCATTGAAAATAGCTTGGAGTGGCAGTCACCTCTCTATCTCAACTTCATCGACTTTGAAAAGGCCTTCAGCAGACAGTGTCGATCGAGAGGTGATTTGGAAACTGCTTCGCTACTACGGTGTGCCACCGACAATTATACATCTCATCCAACAGCTGTACGACAATGCTGCATGCCAAGTAATCCACAACGGGAAACTAACGGAATCCTTCGATGTGAAGACAGGAGTAAGACAAGGCTGGTTGGCTGCCTACTATCTCCAATGATTTTCCTGATTACAGTAGACTAGATAGTGCGACAGACAGTGGGCAATGAGGAAACAGGCATAAAATGGACTCACACAAAAAGAGACTTGGAGGATCTGGACTTCGCCGATGATCATATATGTCTGATTTCCCACAAAGTGGAAGATATGCAAGCGAAAAGCAACAAGTTGGCAGAAGAAGCATCCAGAGAAAATTGGACTTCAGGTGAACATAGAGAAAACAGAGGTGATGAAAATTCCTGGGCAACACCAACAACAGCAACAACAACAGACAACAATGGGAGGAACCTGAAAGAAACAACCTCTTTTACCTACCTACCTGGGAAGCATCGTTTCAACTACAGGCGAAACTGACGAGGATATCAAAGCAAGAATTGGAAAAGCAAGACAAGCTTTCACTACTCTCAAGTCTGTGTGGAGGTTAACACTCAGCACTCAGCATGCAAATGAGAATAAGATCCGGATTTTCAACTCCAATGTGAAGCCAGTCAGTGCTACTCATTATACGGATCAGAGGCTTGCACTGCGCGTCATAAAGAGCATCTCAAACAAACTACAGACCTTCATTAACAGTTGTCTTCGCTCAATACCACTCAAGATCAGATGGCCAGAAAAGATCAGCAACAGATATCTCTGGCAATGAGTGAACCAACCCAGCAGGAACCGATTGTGAAACAAATAGGCAGGAAGAAATGGAGATGGATTGGCTGGCCATACTCTGAGGAAACCATCAATTGACACCACTAGACAAGCCATCGCTCGAGTGGAACCCATCCGAAAGGGAAGCGGCGAGTTGCTTGTCAGTGCAAGGGTGACTTGGAGGAGGTCATTAATGAAGAGGAGATGAAAACGTGTGGGTAGACATGGAGCCAGGTGAAGACTCTAGAAGAGAACAGAACGCAATGGAGACGCACGGGTGAAGCCTTATGTTCCTTCTTATTCAGACAATTTGGATTACATTTGATATGAAGTGCTTCCGATGGTAATAGACGCTGTTTGTGATTTCTGAAATGTTTCTGGATTATTTCAATATTGTCAAAATCAATTTTGTGAACTGATTCTATGATGTGTAGACCTATGACTGATGCGTTATGAAGCTTTTTTAGTTCAAATGGATTTCTCTCGGTGGATGAACAGAGGTGGTTCAACGGTGTTCATTTCTCCTGGTCACCTTGATTTCTCTCTGTCGATTTTTGTCCAATGCATATTGCATCACATTACAAGCAAGCATTTTACTTTATAGACACAGTTAGATTGAGAATCCTTTCGAATTTGGTCTTTTACATGAACTTTGGAATAATTTCAATCTGTAGACAACGTACTTTGAAGATATGAGGATAATAAAAGTTACAATTATGCTTCGATAAAATAATCCGGTTTATAGTTAAGTTGGTTACAGGATTTCATCATTAGCTGACATTGGTTAGAGAACCATTGGAAAATCAATAGGGAGTATTGGACAGACAGCTGTTTCGTCCTAGTTCTGGGCTCTTCATTAGTACGCACCCACCGACATGGTTTGAACTCAGGACCTTCTGGTTACAAGGCGAGCGAGCTAGCTCGTAGATCATTAAGACACTGGGACCCGATGCAATGGCCCATGAATTCTATTTTCTACCAGTTCACAACATAGCGCGACCGCTAGCTAATGTCTTTGGCGAGTATTTGTCCTCACACCCAACTTGCTGCACTCTAATGGTCACGAATTCCCACTGGAACCCAGGTAGCTACCTACCTGATCTACGAGCTCGCCTTGTAACTGGAAGGTCCTGGGTTCGAACCGTGTTGGTGGGTGCGTACTGATGAAGAGCCCCAAACCAGGACAAAACAGCTGTCCAGTACTTCCTGTTGGTTTTCCAAAAGTTCTCTAACTCATGTTAGCTCATGAACACATCAAATAATAATAGCTGATACCTTTGTTAAAATTTCATCAGGGGGTATAATTTCTTTTAAAAAAAATCATCTATACATGTATTTACGATTGTACAACATACAAATAATTCCGTTGAAAAAAGGCTCTTTGCTGAATCAATTGTTTTAATCAAATATAGATGTATGTACATATGTTATTTTGGCTGATGGTGTGTGGCAGTGGAATCGAGGATGTGTATTTCGTCTTATTTGCAGCTCGACATCTGAATGTATCATCATTCTCAGTAACTGATGGATAACTTTCTACGTGATGATTTCAGGAGCTGACGCATCAGCAGATACGGAGAATTTCCGAGCAGAAATGTAAATTACAATGAAATTATGTAAAGGTCATGTACTTTAAATTTTAAAAAAGCCTGAGACAAATCTAATTTGAAAATACATTATTCCTCGCTTAGATTTATTTTGTTTTGATATTTCATATAAGCAAGTTCATAAGCCAAAGTTATAGTAACAGTGTGCTGAGACCTGTCTGTAAGACAAAATTGCAAGCAACAACTGACGTCAATGTTTACGTCCTGAATCGAGGTCATGAGAGCAAAACACAATAACAAAGCATAACCTTGATATAAGTATAATACTTAGGGACTATGATGGTAGAGTATAACTCCATCATAGATAAGATTTTATTTTGATAAATCACACAGTGTGTTATACAGTAATATTAACTGATGACCACACGCTTCGAGCACAAACTATTGCCATTCATAATCATGGCATAATAAGTAACTTGTTAGAATGTTGTGATGTACGTGAATTGAATTGAAATAGACTTTTAAGATTATTTATTATCCTCCTCTGATTTGACTGACTGGTGGTAATAATATCTTCCATATTTCTGGTATTTGCATTGAGTCATTTCTGTTGCATGTGTTGTGTTGCGTGTAGACACAATGAACCAGGATTCAGTAATCAACCTCTCTCTCCACCTACCTATGTTACTCTTTAGAATCTTAACCCTCTCCCACCCTATTGTGTGGTTGTGTGTTAATGCATCCAGTGCAATTGCTGAGTATTTTTTTCTAAATTACCCATCTTCCCGGGGTCAACCATTCTTACCTTAGCTAAATTCTTATGTTGTGACAGGCAATCTCACTACTCCCGATCTACTAGTTTGACCTATGTAGTTGACCTCACAGTCATTGCGGAGTATTTTGTAAACTATATTATTTTGTTTGATTGGATCCACCGACAGTGTCCTTTAGCCTACAGAGATTGCTTCTGAGTGAGTTTGTAGGTTTGAATACCACCCTAATTCTTGCTTTATTAAGAATCCTACGCAAAAGGGGGCCTCAGATGTCCCCTCCTTATATGGTATAACAGTAGATGACTTATATTCTCTTTTATTTATGTTATCATTACTAGTTTCACAATTATTTTTATTTTGGTCTTTTTCGATCTTCCTAATGAATTTTAAAGGATAATTACATAAACTTGGCCTTGAGGGACTCAACAACCAATCACAGCAGACTTAGCGTGGGCGGATACGATTAGCAGATATATGGCCTAACTTTCTGAGAAACGGTGGCAAAGAGATAATAGAATAACATTCAGCAAGAAAACAACCAATCAGAAGACGTTTCTTCGTAGTTAAAATTAGGATTAATAATGTACATGAAAACCTATAAATATCTGTTGATTTTCTAGATAAACGATCTGTTGCCCGGCCCTTGTCTTCTGTTGTTACAATAGCATTATTACTAATATTACTTACTTTTCTGGATATTCTTCTATATCAAGTTCTTCCAAGTGTAGCCGTATGCCAATTTCTTCTACTGGTAAATCACAATTCACTTTTTCTAACTGTCCATCTATTCTTTTCAATTCCTCCAGTATCATCATTTTTTTATCACGTAAATTTAATAAAGAGGCATTGAATTCATGACGTAATTCAAATGTCTGCAAAAGAAACAACATATAAGTGTTTGCTTTATCACTTCTTATGTATATATAGTGATAATAACGACTTCAGGTGAATTAGTGTTGTCTATGGAGCGGGCAAAATTGCCAGAGTATTAAATCGCGGAAAATACCCATTAAAACATTAGGAAAAGAGGAGAACACGAAGTTCAGCAAAGACAACTGTCTTTTCCGCCATTTCATTTTCAAAAACAGCTGTACAATTGCATTTATATACATTAGTTTGAATGGATACAATTATTTTTTGCTTAATTCCACATAGTAATGAAGGTGACAATTATTTTCAACTTGATATGAAAGTTTGAAGGTACGAATATAGATTACAAGTGGCTTAGAGACAAGATTGCATAGGATTAGAAAACAGTTACTACGTATGCGAAATTAATATTTGATAACTGGAGAAATAATTTTAAAGGCGAATAAAAGGTTACAATTATTTTTAACTTGATATGAATTACAAGAGGCTTAGAAAAAAAATTACGCAGGGATAGAACTAACTTCAGGTGTAAACAAAATGAGCTTGGAAACAAAGTGACATCAACATTTTTCAACTTGATCTGTAAGTTAGGAGGTATGAATTTAGATTACAAGACGTAAAGAAACAAAAATTACACACGATGAGAATAAAATTGTAAAAATGGTTATTTTAAACGGATTACAAGTTTGATCAGGAAGAGCGTGGAAACAAACTTAAAATAACTGATTTTTATAACTGATAAAAAGGTGGGATGAATTGAATGAAGACAAAGAGAGAAAATTACACACACAGAGAACAAAATAAAAAACTGAAGGATAAGGGAACATACCGAACTAGGACCACGGTAATTGTTAAGGCTGCACTAGTTTCTTTTAAACACACGGCTCCGGCTTTTCGATGCATACGGTGAGATCTTCCGCAGTACAAAGAAGTCGGAAACACACTGCCTTTGGTAGATTTTTGTTCACTACTTTGTAAATGACTCTGAATGATGAGTCAGTTGAGATTCTATGACAGGTATTGATGAGGTGTAGAGTTATTGCGCTTCTGATTGAACCAGTGCCTCCTATTTGATAAAACCCGCATAGAACGACCTATGTGCCTAGCTCCACAAGAGCAGGTGAACTGATATATGCACATTGAAGTGGTCATATGTGTAAGTCGGTCCTTCGCGTTTCTCTGAAGTAGTGGGTGGCTAGAGAATATCACTCTAAGAGTTGCTGCCAGAAAAGTCTTCTTCAGGGAATTGGAGATCCTCTGTTTAAGGATATCTGCTGCATGGTCTCCCCTGAATTCCAGATTCAAATAAGATGTTTTCTTTGGCACAGAAGTGTATTCTTCTCTTTTTGGCTTTGGTTTCATGTTCTTCTTCACGAAACGCGGTGGGTACCCATTTTGAACCAGGATGCATTTGAGAAATGGGAGCTCTTCTTCTAAACAGTCACCACTGCAAATTCTTCTGGTATAGTGGGCTAGCGAGATGATGAGAGCTCTTTTACGGCTGATAGGTATGCAACTGTAGAAGTTTGTCAGTTAACCATTCCATGTTCGTTTTCTATGAATAGATCTTTTTAGAGTTCCGTCATCTCTTCTTGTCAGTTTGACGTCCAGGTATGGAATCTTTGATACATTTTCAACTTCCATTGTGAATTTTATTGAAGGATGGCAGTTATTAAACTCCTGTAAGATACAATTTAAATCAGAATCACTTCTTATATTGCCTTCTTTTTGGCTGAGATAATCTATTAGAAGGAGGGTAGGTCTTCCATTGATAGTAACAGAGGAATTAGAAAGAATAGAAAAAGAAATTCAGCAAGGAGAACGATCTTTCAGGCAATTTTATTTTCAAAAGTAGCTGTACAATCGCATTTATATACATAATTTTACATAGGTACTATTTATTTTACTTGATTCCACATAATTACCAGGGCGAATAAAAGTTGACAATTATTTCCAACTGGATATGGTCTACGAGAGGCTTAGAACGCATTACAGGTGTCTCCTTTTTACAGCCTGTTCAACCAGGAGTGACATCATTGAACATCTGATCAACACCTCCCACAACATCTCAACTGATTCTTTCAAGGTAATTTACAAAGTCAACAGAAACCTACCAAAAGCAATGTGTTTCCGACTTCTCTGTACTTCAGAAGCCCTGTCAATATGCATCGAGAAGCCGGAGCTTTGTCTTCAAAAGGAATTAGTCCAACCTCTACAACTACCATGGACCTAGTTCGGTATGTTCCCTTAGCCTCAGCTTTTTTTTACCACTGTGCGTGTGATTCTTACTCCCTCTGTCTTCATTTAATTCACCCCATTTTCTTTTTTCAATTATAAGAACAGTTATTTTAAGTTTGTTTCCATGCTTTTCCAGCTCACATTTATAATTCGTTTGAAATAACTATTTTACAAATATATCCTAATCCCGTGTAATTTCTGTTTCTAAAGCTCTTGTAACCTACATTCACACCTCCTAACATCCATTTCAAGTTGAGAATTATTATTTCAATTTGTTTGCATGCTCATTTTCTTACACACTTGTAATTTGTTCTAATCCTGTGTAATTTTCTTTTCTAAGCCTCTCTTTCTCAGCCATATCAAGTTGAAAATAATTGTTACCTTTATTCACCTTCGTAATTATTTGGAATCAAGTAAAAATTGTATCTATGTAAAATTATGTATTTAAATGCGAATGTACAACTGCTTTTGAAAATGAAATCGCCTAGAAGACAGATATCTTTGCTGAACTTCGTGTTCTCTTCTTTTTCTAATGTTTTAATGGGTATTTTCCATGATCTGAAATGGAGCAATTAGCTTGACTAATATAGTGTCTAAAGTTTTAAATTGCACTAATCGCACATAGATTGAGCAGTAGAATTAAAATAAGGAAAGTCAAGCAGAATTTTAGACCAAAAAGAGGATGTATTGATTATATGAGTCACTCTTTGATAGATTCTGGAAAATAAGCATACTGACTCATGTCCAATAATTACGGCATTTCTTGATCCGAAGGTGATAATCTACTGGATTAACTGAGAGAAGTGTTCCATCAGTGTTTGCCTGTAAAGGGAGTGCCATGAAAGCATCTCACATTAATCAAGGTACCACACTCGAACTTAGTCAGCTGTGTGGGAGTAATATAACACTTTGATTTATCAAAATAAAATCTTATATATAATAGAGTGCTTTTGAAGTGATACCTATTGGTGATGTTCTCCAGGGACGCCCACTGTCCCCATTTTTGTTTAATTTCATCACATAAGTATTGCTGGATATAACCTGAACTGATTTTAACGAGTTGGGGGCTCATTTATTACTGGGGAACAGTCTACACCACTTACAGGATGTCGATGACATTGTTCTCCAAATCTAAGACGCTGATAAAATGCAGAGTAGTTGCAGGCAGATAGTCATAGGAATCATCGCCTGACCAAAGTTTCGTGCTAGTTCACACTTATCAGCAGGGTGTATCTGCAACCTTGAAGGAACTCATGACCCTTCTGAGGAGATTTGAACCCGCGTCCGAGGAGTTACCATCACTGAGCTATTCGAGGTGGCCCACCATTGACCTCCTGAAGGACTGTATTGGATATTTTTGACTGGGAACCAGTTAGTAACAAATGTTATGTGCCTAGTCCTATGTTTGGTGCAGACTGAATTCTGTCAGCCACGTTTGCAATGAGGCCACCATTCCAGGTGGGACATCAGTACCCTAAAGTTTGCAGATATGCCTTGCTGATGACTGGTAAGTGCCAACTAGCACGAAAACTAGGTCCAAGGCTTTCTACCGATTGCCTCCAACCACCTAATGCCAACAATTCACAGGGTAATGTCATGGTTAGCCACCTAGTAACATAGCGGCCACATTGCAAACTTGACTGATGATAGAATTCAGTCTGCACCAAATGAAGGACTAGACGACACATATTACACTAGTTACTGGCTAGTGTCCAATTTAGATTCAATAACCAATTCTACCGACAAATTGATGGGGTCACCATGGGTTCACCTCTAGGACCCATTCTAGAAGACATCTTCATGGGCTATCTCGAACAGACGCGACTGAGTGACGCTATCAATGAAACAACATACTACCGTCGATACGTCGATGATACTTTTGTTATTTGTAACGACATGAGTCAGGCATCTGTATTATTTGACCGCCTAAATGAGTTCCACCCAAACATTAAATTCACCATGGAATACGAACACAACGATGAGTTCAATTTCCTAGACCTAAATGTAAAAAGAAGAGACGATGGAACGGTCGAAAAGTCCATCTGCAGAAAATAAACTTGGACTGGACAATACCTTCACTACAACAGCTTCTGCCCTATGAGCTATAAGCGGGGATTAGTAAGGACACTGTACGACAGGGCTAGGAAATTATGTTTGCCCAACAAGATAGAAGAAGAATTAAGCTTTGTTGAAAAATGCCTTAAGGAAAATGGGTATCCAAAAGGATTTAGCCTAAAGTACAGTAAAGAAAGAGATGAGAAAGAGAAGTATCCAACAGTTAAAAAGAGGAAAGTGTTCATTTGCCTCCCATACAAAGGAGAAACAGTATCGCGAAAGATTGAAAAAAGGATGAAAGGAGCAATCAAGAGATGCTTCCCTGCAGCCAATCTGGTGACACTTTACAGTACTACATGCTCTATAAGCCAATCGAAACTGGATAAATACCCTGCTTATGTTACCTCCAACTGCATTTATAAAAATGGAGAGTCTTCTGAACAACTTGAGCAGAAATCTTAGAATCTTTTGGCAGTGGATTTTCTCCAGTTAAATGTAAAGTGATACTGCAAGACTGATCTGTGATAATTTCCAGCTGTAAGACAAGGAGTAAAAATGGTTGCGTGTATTGACCGCTTCAGTTATTTGTGAAATTCAATGAGCCCTAATCGACCACAAAGTGCGAGATATATACAGGCTTTATGCCGTCGAATGTTTTGTCCCTATAAGTCAATTAAAACACTAGCAAACTTCTGTCAAATGAGATCCACGGTATAAAATAAACAACGTGCAAGATTCACAAATCAGGAATAAAGAAATCCAAACAAACTTCTGTTCCTCAAATACCGTTTAAGCATAAGAAGATAATTACACCAGACCTAATAGAATGTTGATACACCAAACAGGATCAATTCCAGTTGATATCAATGAGTGTGGTTACGAAACAACGACATGATAAACAAAAATACAAATGCGAACTACTAACTAGTAATAAGTAGTATAGAGTTTAACACGAATAAATCTGTGATACAGTGTTTAAGGTAGTTTTCAATTTGTGGGAAAAATAAGAGATCTTAATGTGAGTGACATATTTTGATGTAACCTTTCTTGATCTCGAATGTACCGTTAATGGAGACAGTGGATTTTATGTGTGATGGGATTATTACGAGAAACATAGACATTGGCATTTCTATTTCCTCCTTGAAGGCACTTATTTTTAAGATGTACTATTGCTCAAATTTTCTTTATTATAGCTTGATTCCACACCGTATTTTTGGCACAAGCATGGAATTTTCAGCATGTGATATCGGTACCCCGACTTTCGCAGACCAACCATTGTATCATGTGTGCGTCAGCAGGGGATCGAACCCCGGACTGAGTGCATGGTCGGCGAGAGTCCTAACCTCTGTGCCACCGACGCACAGTGAGGAATAATACAGACAAACTGATGGGGTAGCTAAGGGTTCCCCAATAGTTCCAATCCCCATCTGATTTTTTCCTCGCTAAGTTAGAGAATGGACCACTGAAAGGAGTCATTAATGACTTGGATTCCTACTGTCGATATATGGATGATATATTTCTGGTTATGGAAAACGAGAATGATGGAAGGAACATCCTTGACAAGTTTAATGATGCACATTCAGCAATAAATTTTACCATGGAGAAAGAAAGTATTGACAGTATCTAATTTCTAGACGTCATCATGGCAAGAAAAGTAGATGGCACACTAAGAAGGTGTGTGTATAGGAAACCTACAACAACAGGTCAGTACGCTCATTTTCTGAGTTTTGTACCTTTGAAATATAAACGTAACCTGGTAAAGTGTCTGATTCATAGAGCCAGGTTAATCTGTTCAGACGACTGCCTCAATGAGGAGCTTAAGATTATTAAAGAATTACTTAGAAAAAATGGTTATCCACATAAATTTATTGAGAAGAATATGAATTCAGAACCAAAGAGAGTCACTATTGCTACAGTTTCGAAAAAACCAATGTTCATAAAATTGCAGTTCCTCGGTGACAACATCGGCGAAATAATAACACACCGCCCGTAGAATACAATTAAAAGAGCTGAAGAAGGCAAACCTGTGCGCGTTCAGAAGAAATTTTTACAGCCACTTTTCTTACCTTGGTCATCGTTACATGAATGTACTAACCGGAGTACTTCGCACCCCTCCCCCTAAACCTATAAAAATCATAAAAATTATAATTGTCCAAATTATTTTATTGTTTTTCTGACTACTTAATCTTTAATTACATGTTATCCCTGTAAAATTATTTTATTCTTAAGACCACTTCAGTCTTAGTTACAAGTTATCATCGTCCAAATACTTTTATTTTTCTTTAACAATCTGTTACGTAATCAACCTGTGCACACATTTATTCCTCTTTTACCCTTCATTCTTCCAAAATTGTGCATTATGCAATGCACGTGATGCTGTAACCATTTCTACCTTTTAAATGTGTGTGTTAATTTTCTTCATTAATTATAACCCCATTGACATTTTGACACTGACTAATTATTTTAATTGAATTTTAGATTTACCCGTCGATTGATTAGACCGAAGTGCTCGGTCTCAGGTTGACATGTCGGCTTCTTGTACAGATGCTTCGACGATGTCTGGGCATTTAATTAGAATTTAATCTGTGGATGGTGACTAGCGGTGGGATCGAGTTAGGATGCGCATTTCGTCCTATTTGGGACCCATCAGTTGGATGTACCTGCATCTCCCGGTGAGTGATGATGTTCCCACCGAGGCTCGAACCCAGTGCCCATAGTTTCAGACGCCAAAGCGTTATCCACTAGACCACTTGGGCCATGAGAGCCACCGCTTGAGCAACGGGTCATATTGATTTAATTGAATTTGAGATTTTCCCGTCGGTGGGAACATCATCACTCCCTGGGAAATGCAGGTACATCCAACTGATGAGTCCAAAATAGAGCGAAATGCCCATCCTGGATTCCACTGCTAGTTACCATCCACAAATTAAATACTGACTAATTATTGTTAACAAACATATCGCCACCAGTAGATTGGTAAACTGTTGTGTATTGTAATGAAAATGCTATACATAATAAATTAGAGTAGAGCCAGATTGAGATGAGGATCTAATTGTAAAGATTTGATGAAAACAGAACTAGCACACACACACACCCTCACACGTCCACATGACTTACTTTGTCTACAATGCTAAGTAGTCGATATTTAGCACCGAATGTGTTCAGTTTCATACTTTCTGGTATTACATAGTTCGTAGCTGATTTCAGCTTATAATCACCCATTTGTTCTTGAGCTAACCGGATCGCTTCTACATCTTTTGGATCTTCATAGTCATCCGGTGGTTTCATAGCCTGTAATTCTTCCCACTGTTAGAGTAAAAAACAAAAAAGAAGACAAAGGCAGAAGAGAAATGAAATAATTGATAGAATTTTCTAATTCGTGAATAATCCCCATCCCCAGACATTAGTGAATAAACAAAACACCTAGTTCAGCGAAGAGTCACTTTTCGGCGGCGAATTCATTCACTTAGCTAGATGTACAGTCGCAGTTGCATATAGTCATTTTTGTATGTGTGTGTACAACAGGTTTGTCCGATACGAATAAAAATAAGTTAGGGTTATTGTTGTCAAGACATTTCAAAAATGTGATGAGTAATCAAACTGAATAATCAAGAAGGCAAAGTACCCGAGGATTGGAAGAAAGGATACTTATTCAAACTACCAAAGAAACGAGACTTAAGTCAATGCGAGAACTGGCGCGGAATTTTGCTCCTGTCCATCCCAAGCAAAATACTAAGCCGCATCATCCTGAAGAGGATCAAACAAGCCGCCCTGGATGAAAAACTTCAACCGGAACAGGCTGGATTCAGGAGAAACAAGTCATGCATTGATCAGATCACCACATTACGGATCATCATTGAACAAAGCTTGGAATGGTAGTCACCTCTCTATCTCAACTTCATCGACTTTGAAAAGGCCCTCAGCAGACAGCGACGATCGAGAGGTGCTTTGGCAACTACTTCGCTACTACGGTGTGCCACCGACAATTATACATCTCATCCAAGAGTTGTACGAAAATGCTGCATGTCAAGCAATCCACAACGGGAAACTTATGGAATCCTTCTAAGTGAGGATAGGAGTAAGACAAGCTGGCTGCCTACTATCGCCAATGATTTTCCTGATTGCAGTAGATTGGATAATGCGACAAACAGCCGGCGGCGAGGAAACAGGCATAAAATGGACTCACACAAAAAGAGACTTGGAGGATCTGAACTTCACCGATGATATATGTCTGATTTCCCACAAACTGGGAGATATGCAAGCGAAAAGCAACAAGTTGGCAGAACAAGCATTCAGAGAAGATAGGACTTCAGGTGAACATAGAGAAGACAGATATGGTGATGGAGATTCACGGGCAACACCACTAACAGCAACAACAACAATAGACAACAATCAGCATAAAAGGAAGAAACCTGATAGAAACTACCTCCTTTACCTACCGACCTGGAAAGCATCGTTTCAACTACAGGCGGACCGAACTGACGAGGATATCAAAGCAAGGATCGGAAAAGCAAGACAAGCTTTCACTACTCTCAAGTCTGTGTAGAGGTCAACAGCACTCAGCATCAAAAATAAGATCCGGATTTTCAACTCCAATGTGAAGTCAGTGCTACTATGCGGATGGATCAGAGACTTGCACTGCGCGTCATAAAGAGAATCTCAAACAAACTACAGACCTTCATTAACAGTTGTCTTCATTCTATACTCAAGATTAGATGGCCAGAAAAGATCAGCAATAGGGATCTCTGGGAGCGAACCAACCCAGCAGGAACCGATTGTCAAACAAATAGACAGGAAGAAATGGAGATGGATTGGCTGGCCATACTCTGAGGAAACCATCAAGTGACATCACTAGACAAGCCATCGGTCGAGTGGAACCCGGCCGAAAGGGAAGCGGCAAGTTGGTCGTCAGTGCAAGGGTTACTTGGAGGAGGTCATGTGAAGAGATGACAGCATGTGGGCAGACTTGAAGCCAGGTGAAGACTCTAGCAGAGAACCAAACGCAATGGAGACGCATGGCTGAAGCCGTCTGTTCCTCTAGGAATTAAAGGACACAATAATAATAATAATCAAACTGTAACTAGGGTGGGTGGGGGTGAAGATAAGTAAGAGGGTAGTGATGATGTGTCGTCACAAAACATAGTTATTCATATTAATCAGCGTAATACAGTTACGCAATGAGATCAATAGTTTAATGATAAGTTGTGATTAGGATGCACGTAGAAACAAAGGGAATTATGGAATTATTTAAGAATTCCAAAAAATTACAGATGTTATAAGGAGTTAGAAGAACAAAAAGACAAGCGCACAAATATCAAGTCAGTAGAAGTCAACCCGGTTGTTATCAAGGGAATAGAAGTGGTTGGATGGTTTTCTTTTGTATACATAATTCTGATTTTTCCAACTGGACGGCTAAGGCTTCAGCAATACAAAGGAGACAAAAGCGAGCGTATTTCCTTTGTTCAGTTGTTCTTCACTTTGTAGGAGGATCACTCTGAAGGAGGAGGCGTTTGTTAAGATGGAGTGACCAGTGTTGACGAGATGTTCAACTATCACACTCCTTATACAGCCACTATTACTTTTTTGTAGCCATTCGGGATTGTGTTGTTGAACCCATTTTAGACAGGATACACGTCGAACGACCAATGTACCTGGCTCCACAGCAACAGGTGAACTGATAGATGTACATTATTATATGTGTAAAACTTGGGCACTGTGATAGTAAGTAATTCCATATTAGTTTGTTTATTAGATATATCACACACAGTGAGTGAAACAGTATTATTTACTGGATGACAAAGTTTCGAACACAATTTATTATTGTTCATAATCAAATCAATTGTGATCACACGACTTTGAGACTTGAGTTTTATAGTTATATTTGTTCTCTCCTATTTGTCGTCACTGAAGTAGCAGAATTTGAAAAAGAGAAGACATTCAGCGAAGAGACTCTTTCCGGCGAATTCATTCACATAGCTGTACAATCGCATTTATATATAAATATTTGTGTGTGTGTGTGTACATGAAGTTTGTCAAGTTTAGATAATTGATTAGTTAATACAAGAATGATGTAGTATAGGGACAAAGTTAATCAGACAGCAACTAAAGTAAGACTGAGTTAAAAAAAAAACAACTAGATGACCTAAAGTTGT